TTATAGAGCTATTCATTTTTATTAAACAGAAACATTGTGGAAACATCAAAAAGAATAAGCAGTTCAAAAATTATTAAGTTGTTTAATGTGAATAATATTAAATTTATAGGCGAGAATTTATAATATTTTATTTATTATCTCATTTAATTGGAAATACTGTTGTAGCTTTTCTTTTTAAAAAGTGTCTTACACTATGTCTAACTTATTCTAAATATGATTTATTTTGTTTAACATCTTCTTCTTCAATTAAGGAATTTTTAAATAGACGTATAAATTCATATGGAAATAATAGATATTTTGAATACTTATTTAATAACTAATTTAATAATTCTGTGTTATTTTTTCTTATTGGCCTCATTAATTTAGTGATAACTCTATCAATATTCCATTCCCTATCAAATTTATCATATTCTTTAAGTTATTCAAATCCTGTTATTTCAGTTAAGCCTAACTCTCCTTCAAGCTTTTTAATAAGAAAGAAACACTTCTCATATTCATAATTTGACAATTTAGGTAGAATATATTATAATTTATTTAATGTTTCTTAAGAATCTCCTGGTTTTTCAGAAAGAACTGTTTAATCACTTTATTTATTGGTTGTTCCAGATAATAAAAGTTTTTTTTCTCTTTTATTTTTAAAACTATCTAAAATTTAAGTTTATTATAATATGCTAGTTCTTTGCATAAATTTAGCAGGATTAAATGAAGTTTCAACTAACCATTCTGGAGGATTTAATTATGCATGTTAATCTTCAAAAGTAACAACATTAATTTTAGGTTGTCCATTTTAATGAATACTTAATCCTTAACTTTATTATTCTTGTATTTCATTTTCAGGAACTATATCATTTTCTAATTAATATATTTTAGCACTATCTTATATCAATATTTATTCATTTAATGCAGAAAATCTTGTTTTATTTTTTTTTATATTTTTTAATTTTCGTCTTCCTTAAATATTTTAAAAATGATATCTCATTATGACCTTCTCGATATCAGGTATATAATGAACAACATTACATTAATTAGTATAATGTCTTTTATCATGACAAATATAACAAAATTTTTCAGGTATAATTTGTAATTGGAAATTGTTAATTACTTTTAGAACTTCAGAACGAGGTATCATTAATAGACTTGAGAAATCAGCAGATTTATAATTTATTTTGCCACTTTAAGTAAAGAGTTCTTGTAAACCAAAAAATTAATTCTCTTTTAATGTGTCAATTACAATCTAAAATATTTATAATCAAACCTTATCTTGCATTACTTCAATCTTTCCATTTTCTATTATATAAATATATTCCTATGGATTGATATGAACTCCTGGTTAAAAGACATTAAATTCAGTACTTTAAAGTAAAGATTCTAAAGCAGGTTTAGGAAACTATGAAAAATATGGACATTTAATAATTAAAGAAGAAGCTGATTCTAACTTTAATTTTAATTGTAAATCTTCAGGTAATAATGTTATAAGTCTTATTTATTCATTTTTTTTTTAAATAATTTCTTAATTCCAATAAAAATTAAAATATTCTCTTACCTTCATTGACAGCTCAGTACTTAATTTTTTACAATGTAAATATTCATTTATACAAGTCATCTTTTATCTAATCATTTCATTATTTTCTTTCATTTGAGTAAGTATTAATCCGATAGTATTAACAGAATAAGAATATTGTAAAGTGGATAAAAACATATAACAAATACAAAACATCTTTTCAAGTGAATCTAATAATTATATAGAGATATATATATATACTTGTAGGTGTGATATCTCCATATCCTACAGTAAACATAGTTACACTCATAAAATAGAATGATTCAAGAAATTGTACTTACCAACTTTCATTTTTTACATCCATCATCCAATTCATTTTACCTTAATTATCATAATATTATCCTAATTTTAACCTAAAGAAATATTTAATTAATTTTTATACCATAAACAACCACAAAAATGTTATATTAATAATACTGTGGCTATTAATTTAAATAAATCTATTACAGAACTTACCATTTTTGTGGGTTTTAAATTATATTGAATAATATCAACTAATTTCATTATATTTCTCAATTAATAATAAAATAACATAAAAAACCATGTACTTAATTAATAATCTAAGGATACAAGGATACCAAATAAAATACTGCCTAATTCTATTCCTAAACCAATATTAAGTTGTTTTTTAAATAATTAAGATCTATCTTTAACTGGTAATCCTTTATGAAAATATATAGTAAAGTTTCTTATCAATAAATCAAATGCAAGAAATACACAACTAATTAAAAAATAATTTGAATGATCATTTTACAAAAATGGAAATGATATAATAATAGGAGACCAGATTATCAAATAAATACGAATTAAACAAAGCAAAAAATCCCAGATTAATTTCATAATATTATTTGGTTCTATTAATGGAATATAATTATATAATTGAGAAAAGCATCCAGATAATTTATTTACTATACCATTTTTCCATGTTCTTAATTTAAGTCTTATCTATAAATCTATTGTATTCAAATTTTATTGTAGAAAATTACCACTTATCTTTCCTTTCTATTACATATATGAACTTGCTTAATCATTTAATATTTCATGTTATTTTTGAGAAAATTTGCAATCTGGTCTTATAAAGCTAATCATTTTGTTAGCAAACTTTAATGAATGACAATTAATAATCAATTTAGCAAATGGCGATTTCTTTTATATCAGTATAGCTTAGTTTTCTCTTTATTTATCAATTGATAATATTCCTTCAGATTCTGGTAAATCTGGTGGTTATAATGATTCAAGTGGAATTGAATTGATTCTCATTGTTGTCCTACTAAATTTTTATGCAGAAACCAATTGCTAAGTTGTTGAAATACCTGGATTAGAATTTTCTACCTTCATAGGACTCATTTCTGAAATTGAATTATCTAATCCCTTAGAATTTATCTCATGTTCTGTCTAAGGTGATATCAATTTGCATTTGCTAATTGTTGTATACTACATTTTAATTAAATTATATATCTCAGGATACTAGATTAAAATAATTGACTTATTCTACAGTTGTGCATATTAAAAAATAACAAAATATCTATCAAGCAAAAAAGATCAAATAATTATGTATTTATGATATAATATATTATTTTACTTATTTAATATATCTTCAAGAATCAACTTAGAAATATATATATTTAATTTATAAATATATATATATCTACTTAATCAAATTTTTGAGAAATATAATTTAAAAATTCTTAACCTTTGTTGTGACTTAATTTTAAATTTGATTATCAAAATTAATTATATAAATATTTAATGTAAAATCCATTAAAAAAAAGTCGAACATTTTTAAGAAGAAAAACAGATTTATTAAGAGATTATTTAACAGGAGGAACTGCTCTCTTATTATTTGGATTATTTATCTCATTTCAATATAAGAAAATCAATCCACCTGATCCTGTAGATGAACCATAATGTATAAATTAAAAAATTATCAAGATAGTCAGGATTACAATATTCTAGATTTTGTACAAGATAAAATAAGAAAAATTACAAATATTAAATACAATTAAATTCAAGATGAAAAACAGAAATAATCTGTTCAAAAAAAAAATGCATAATGAGATTATTTATTAAAATAAAAATAGTGTTTCATTTTTTTAAGTTTCTATTTGAATATTATAAAATGCTATATAATAATATTCTACTCTCATTTAGACTTAATAATTAAATAAAATTATCATTTAAGTTTATTCTATTTTCTTAAATAACTTAGAGTATAGATAAAAAAAAGAAAAATGATAATATACAATTAATTAAATAAAAAGAGTTAAATATGAATTTATATAACAAGCTTAAATTTTGATTGAATCTAAATAGGATAGCAATATTTTATTGTAAATAATTCTTTAGAAAAAACAAAAAAAGTACCCTAATTATAAAAGTAATAGGTATTATTATTTATCCTAAAACTTATATATGTATTTGAATAATAAAATTATAAGGATTAATAAGAATTGTTAAATTTATTAGTTAATATAGAATTCTTAAAATTATGATTGATAGACTTCTTTAAATAAAGTCTTTTTTACATAATCCATAATTTATGATAAAATAAATCCAATAAGATTGATGATAATATATCTATTAATCAATAGATTATATGGATTAAAAAAAAATAAATTAAAACCTGAATCATTTTTTAATTATTTGATAATTGAATTTCTTGTTACTATGCATATGAGTAATTATTATAATTTTTATTATACTTAGATTTCTGAATTTATTTGTATCTTTATATTAAGATACATATTGGTTTTACTAAATGATCTATTTTATTTGCATTTCTAATATTTAGTTTTGTGCTACACTCTTTGCAATTTGATTTCAAAAAGTCAATTTCTATCTTTTGTTCAATATTCTCTTGAATCATAAAATTTAACTTAATAGAAAAGATTACATAATAGCAATTTATTATTGTAAAAATCTGTATTTTAATTGACAAAAATCAGGATGTAACATAATAACTAATTTAAGAATTAGCACTGTTTTTATTTATAGGATACATGTCATTGATTAATTTCATTTTTTTCTCTCTTTTTTTAATTATTTATATTTCTTAGATGATAATAAAAAAAATTAATTTTATTTATTGCTAATATATTTTCAATTTCAGAAATTAACGTTTTAATTGACTTATAAGTTATTGAGATTATTATTAATAAGCAAAATTATTATCTTATTATTGATTTTTACATATACTATATTGCTATGTTAATACTAAAAGTAATACAAATTTAATTGTCATTGATATGTTTATTGAGATTATTTTAATTTCATTACTTATGATTGTAATTTATTAGTGTTGTCTGTTTTAAAATGGCATTCTTAAATTAATGTAATTAACATTATATACTTATATGAGTCAATAAGCTTTAATAAATTTAAAGCTCGTTTTGTGAGTAGAAATTGGTGAAAAGGTTGTAGTTATTAAAATTAATTATAAATGGGTAATTAATGCTGCACAAATCAACCTACAGAGTAAGATCATTGAATGATTTTAATAGAGCAGATAAATAGATAGAGACTAAGCCTGAGGATATGAGCAAGTTAATTTAATAATCGTCTAAGAATGAGGAAGAACCCTTAAAATAAATAACATGTAAGAAGAAGTGATAATTTGAGCAATACCTACTTTATCTGTGTAGCCATCGTTGTTTATTTAGATGAAGAGGGAAACTATTTATGGTACTTATTAAGTGGGAAAGTTATTGGGAGAAGGTAAAATTAATCGTAATTGTAGGTGCTTATGGACAAGTATCAATAGTTACTCATAGAGTGACAGGAATGTAAAGGGCAATGAAAGCAATTCGAAAGGATTGTTTATTTGAGGAAGAATAGGCAAAATTATTTTCAGAGATGACAATATTGAAAAATCTTGATCATCCACATATAGTGAATTTATTTGAGCTATATGAGGATGATAAATTTTATTATTTAATAACAGAGTATTTAATAAGATATTTATAGATAGATATTTACGTGGAGGGGAATTATTTGATCGTATTCAGAAAGCTAAGACTTTCAGTGAAGCAGATGCAGCTAGATATATGAAATAAGTAATGTAGGCAGTGTGTTATTGTCATTCTAAGAATATAGTTCATAGAGATTTGAAACCTGAGAATATTATATTCGCTAGTGAAGATCAATATTCAATCTTAAAAGTGATTGATTTTGGAACATCTAGAAAATTTGAACATAATTAAAATATGTCTAAAAGATTAGGAACGGTATATTATTTATTATTATTATTATTAGCCATATTATATTGCTCCAGAAGTTCTACAGAAAAAATATAATGAGAAATGTGATGTATGGTCATGTGGAGTCATTCTTTACATTTTATTGGCTGGATATCCACCATTTTATGGAAGGAATGAAAGTGAGATCTTTGATAGAATTTTAAAGGGTAAAATTCCATTTCATAGTAATTTATTTTAATTATGAAGCTACCGAATGGAATAAGATATCTAAAGAAGCAAAGAATTTAATAACAAATATGTTGTGTTTGGATGTAGAGAAAAGATATTCTGCTTAATAAGTATTTGATGATCCTTGGTTATAACAAGGATAAGGAGCAAATTTGATTGATGATAATTTTCTTAAGAATTTAACAGAATTCAGTGCAAAAAGTAAATTAAAATAAGCTTTATTAACTTTTATGGCTAGTCAAATGATTCAACCAAAAGAAGTTGAATAAATATAAGAATTATTTAAATAATTAGATAGAAATGGTGATGGTAAATTATCTAAAGATGAATTGATTACAGCATTCTAATAAAAAGTATAAAGTGGAGATAGATTAATTGAAAATATGGAAATTAAAATAAATAAAATTGTTACAGAAATAGATGTTAATATGTCTGGATATATTGATTATACTGAATTTATTGTAGCTTGTTTAAAATATGAAAAATTATTGACAATAGAAAAAATCAAATAAACATTTAAAATCTTTGATATTGTATAATAGTAGTTTAATTTATTATTTAGGATGGTGATAATTATATTTCTAAAGAAGAATTATAACATATAATGGAAGGTGTAGATGATGATATATGGAAATAATTCTTAACAGAATGTGATCAAGATAATGATGGTAAAATATCAGAAGAAGAATTCATCAATCTTTTATCAGATAAATTTTGATATTTTCAAAAATCATGAATAATCTCTATATCTGCTGCTTCTGCCATACTTTCTATTGATGATTCATCTTATCCTCTTTTCATTCTAAATCTACCATTCTCTCCCCATTATTTACCCCAACTATTCTATAGTAACCAATATTTAATGCCATTCTCTTCTCCCCAACCGTAACATAATACTGAATGATCAACTTTTTCCTTTTTATATTAATTTTATCTATAATACCCATTCTGGTTTTGCTAATCCATTGATAATCCAATCAGGAATTGTTGAATGAAAGACTCCTCCAACATAGAACATGAAATCAAAAGATGGTTCAAAATTCAAAACCACTGGTCCATTTTTATAGATCTCTTCCATTATATTTAATTCATTTGATTTACCATAAGCTCCCCCAATAAATCTATAATTAATAACTCTAAACTTTTTCTTTTTCTCAATTGCTTTGCATGTACCTACTTATCCTTTATAAGGATAATCTTTTTCTTCAAAAATCATACCATCCAATTCTGTTAAGTATTTCTCAACCAAAAATGGATAACCACCATCACAACCTTAATTGTAATAATTGCAATCTATAGATTGTTAAGGTGATAAATCAACTTTCAATCCTTTTATTCTTAATCTAGCAGATAACATAGTCATAGTTGAAATAGTATAACATGATCCACATCCTTTTTATTCATATATTTTCTTTCCTAAATATTTTTCCCATGAAAATTCTTTAGGCAAATGACTTAAATCATATTCTAATAATTATTATTTTTTTTTTTATTTCTCCAATAAAATAGTTGATGAATGTTTTCTTCTTCCTGCATACTTATTCAACTACTTTGTTGTTAATCCAATTATTTCTCCATATGCTTTTGCTTTCCATTATAAATTTGCTCTATTAATCTACTCAACAAAATTTAATGCATCAATCCTAGACCAAATCTTATTAACTCCTGAATTTTAATATTAAAAAAATTAAGGTTGAACAACATGTCCATTATTAGCACCTTCTGATACTTTGTGAGTCTTCTCTATTTTATATGCTCTATAACATCCTCTTTCATTTGTCTCTGTATTCTAATACCATCCAATCAAAGTCTCTCCACAATATGAATAAGCACCAGAATAATTTGTCTTGTATTTTGAAAAAGCAAAACATTTGTAATGTGAAAAATCAACCTCAAATCCTTCATCATACACCATTGTCCATTTGCCTTACAATTTCTTCTTTTATACAACATTGTTTTTAGCAGTTAATATAACTTCATGTGTAAAAGCCTTCTTAAATGTATTCTATCCTGCAATTTATGATGTACGTTCATTATCAGGTACATTATGACCACATGTCAATGGTCCACTGCCTAGGTGAATCTATCAATTTACCTTTAATTTATGGTTCTGTGAACTCTAATTGCCATTTCCCTACAATTTAATGACGAACACAATGTACTGGCAAATCTGCATGAACACTCAGAACTAATAAAAAGACTAATAACATAATTAATTCGTTTTTTTAATTGATTTCAAATACATAATTATAATGGCTAATTCAAAAATTTCTTTAAATTCTCCAGTCCTGGTATATCAATCTGAGTCTCATTTATAAATTCTACATCATCTATTTGATCCTACCAATACTTCAAATTCTCATGAATTTACTCTAAACAAATTTGTGTCACCCTTTCACTATGCAGAGTAAGACTATCATGTACTTCTGCAATAAAGTAACAAACGCATTGAACATAGGCAAAACAATAGCTTTTAGAAATCCCTCTTGAGATTTGTAGATACACTATTTTCTGTCACACATGGGTGATACAGGTACTTTCAAATATGATTCTAAATCTCCTTATAAAAAGAATTCTTCAATTATTCTACGACTCCATAATTTATGTATTTTTAATTATTTTGCTCCATGACCAACATCTTATATGAAGTTTTAATTGATACCTGCACATTTAATACATATAGACATCAACAAATTTTTATCTATGTCTTATGATTCTGTTAATTCTAAGTAATTTTAGAATCTATTCATTAATTAAAAATGTCTTGTAAGATCTGTATCCAAGATTAAATTAAGACAATATTTTCTAAATCCTTTTTATTCAACCTATCCTAAATTCTAGATAATGTTGAATTAATCTTATGATAGAATTTAAAACAATAAAAAAGAATGATAATTTTCAAGTACACTCTAATCATTATCTAACATATATATATAAATACATAACAAAGCTAATTTACATCTGTTAATTATCATAAATCCATTATTTAAACCTGGATGTCCTATATCATGTACCATAGATGAAATTATCAAACAAGCTTATTCAAATTCATCTAATAATTCATTTAAACCATTTTCCAAAAAAAATGCAATTGAATTTGTTACATCTAATGCATGCATAGAATTATGATATAGATTATTATGATAAGACATGTCAACTTTAAGTGCAAATTCTCCTATTAATTCAGATTTATTTATCTTAAAAGTTTGTACAATTTTAAATCTCTTGAAAAAATTTATTGTATTCTCAAAAAAGATTTTTGTTTGTAAATTATCCTAAGATTTATTTCTACAATATTGTAAAAAATTTGCATTAAAATCTATACTCTCCAATTCTTCTTCTTAAATTTTATCCTAGTAATCTTAGATATATTCAAATGATGGTTATTTCTGTGTAAAATGAGATAATAAAAATCTATCCAATAATATAGGTATCATTACTATTTAGCATCCACACTGAATCCTTCTTAATCATTAATTAATTAATTGCTTCTTAAAAATTTTGGAAGCCAAATTGATTCTTTTTTCCCTGATAGTAAGTTCAATAAATCATCTATATCTTCTGTTGTTATTTTAAATTCTTCTATATTCTTTTCAGAAAAGGATGGACTATTAGTATTTTCATTAATTCTAAAATTTTAATCAGTTGCACTTGTCATAAGTCTTTAAGATTTTCTTCTAAATTGTGAAGGATGATTATCATTTTATATATTCTAAAAATTATTGTTTGATATATCTTATTAAATTGAACTTTATTCATCTTAAGAATAATCTTCAGGTAATTATTTAAGTGAGAAAGCATTTTAATGAATTTCAGAATTCATTTTTTTTGATTTTCGTATTCCTTTTTGAAAAGTATTATTTTTAATTAATAATTGTTAATATTTGATTAATCTTAATTTTTTTAACAAATCATTTGCTCTAGAAGATAATTATTATTAAACTTCACATTCCTAATAATCTTACAATTTTATAATTTATTCATTATAACATTTTTTAATTAAATCTAACTCTTTGATAAAATCTACTATCTTGTTATCTTAATCTTTCTTAAAATAATTAACTCTCCATAGATTTCCTTCAATTGATATTAAAGCAATAACAAAATACTTGATTATTTGAAATACTTGATTTTGAAAATATATTTAGGTAATTATGAATATTAATGATATTGAATAAGTAAATTCACGAATATAATTGAATTAAAATCTAATTGAAATCAGTATCAAAAAAGCAATTGTGATTAGATAATTTTGACAATGCTAATTGCTTTATAAATATTGTTATTCAAAAATACCTTTATTCTTAATATACAAAAATAAGATTGCTGATTAATTGGATGCTTATTCCTAAATAAACTAAAATCTTAGCATTATCTTATTTTGTATTTCTTATATTGTTAGCTATAATGAAGATTAGAATGACTCTGAAACTAATATAATACTCTTGATTATCAGTGGATTCTATCAATGGCCAAATGACTAATATAAATAGGAGAAGAAAAGCATCTAAAGGTTTAGTTTAATTAATATTGGACTCTTTGGTAAAGATCTAAGAAAACTTATCTTTGATTTGATCATGGATTTCAAAACTCATAAAATTTAGATAAATATTATTTTCAATTATTACTAATATTCAATACATCTTTTCTAGATACATCAATCCTTCTTTAAGACATATGATTATCCATTCTATATTTGGTCTATTTTATGGTTCAGGATGAAGACATTTAATAGCTAAATTACGAAGACATTTCATTAGATGCTTAGGTCCAAATGTTTTTATAAAATCAATGTTAGATCTAATTTAATAAGTCTTAAATTTATATCGTTCTTATAAATTGGAGAGATTACTTTTTTTAAAATCCTCAAATTTAGGAAATAATTCTTACTATAGGGTATTATTCAAATAGAAACTCATACATCAAAATGCCAAATGAGAAAATATCTGATTTATGATCAATTTTAGATTAATTTGGTTATGAAGTATTTTATTCTTCAGGTAAAGATTCTGGAGCAGCAAAAGGAAGTGTTCTTCCATCACCTCCTTATATTAAAACCTAATCTCCCTTTTTGTACATAGCTTCTCCAAAATCTGTCAATTTTGCATTATAATGTTTGGCAATCTTTAATAAATATAAAATGAATACCAATATATTACCAGGCTTTAAATCATTATGAATAACTCCATAATAAGATAAATACCTAAGAGCATGTGCAATTTAGAATAGTATATATAGTCTTGTGTTCAAACTCTAAGTTGTCTAAAATTTTGATCTGAAATTGTCCAAAGATGTATGCTAATAGAATTCCATAAATAAATGTTCATTAAATAAAGGCATATTGTTCTTATCAACTGTATCTGCTTTATAAAATTATGCAATATATGGACAATATCCATTAAATATTAATTTCTATTTATCATATAAAGGTTAAGATAATATTTCACTAAAAAATTTTAGATAAATTTTATACAGTATTTTTTTTTCTTAAACAATTCTACTTTGTAAAAACTTCTTTTCTCCCTTTTCATTCTATTAAACTACTTTATCCTTCTCTCTATCCTTATCCTTTTTAATTACTATAGTCCTTTTTGTAAAAGTCTGTATTTCATTTTAATCTGAATTATTAACAGGCTGAATTTATTTTAATACTCCTGTAGGTTCTTCTGTTTCTAACTTTTATGTACTAGTTCCAGAATTTTAAACAAGAGTAAAAGCCAATTAACCTTTTTTAACTATTGAAAATCCTCCCTCACCTATTAATTCATATCCTTCACCATTATCTACTTGATCTGGATTAGAAAATTATATTGAATTCATTATCTTAAATGATGGATTTGGTTATTTTGCATATGTAAAATGTTATTAGAATAATCGAGTTTCTTCTTCAGTTATTGGTGTGGTGCATTTACTAAATTAAAATTATTTTTTTACTTCTAAATTATATCATTTATTCTTTGTAGATATATATCAAATTAAGGGGGAATTTTACGATACTAATCTTACAATTTTTATTCTAAAAATGGAAAGACTTTGTATGATAATTTATTTATTAAATGCATTAATCTATATATGTGATATCCAATTGCATAATGGGATGTGAAATGGAGTACTTTTAATAGACTTGACAATGATCCTTAATTTTAGCTATCTGTCTACATAGGATATAAACATATTAAGTCTGTCCAATGTTCTTAAATCATAACAGAATTTAATTTTAATTATATCTAACCAGTCTCATTTTCTATACAAAAACATCCAAAACGCAATGAATTATTAATTCTACAAAAGTATCTTGCTAATAATCTTTATAGATACTATATAAATAATAAAATAAAATATTTACTTTTTCTTTAACTTAAATAAGTTGTCCATCAGGTTTAGCAATGAATGATTTACAATCTATACGCTTTCTTAGAAAATTGATTGTTGTTGTACATAATGCTAAGAATTTATTAGAAAACCTAAGGAATTAATATTATATTTTAACTCACTATTCTAGTGTGATTGTGAGTTGCCATTATTTGGTCTCTTCATTTTAAGTTATATCGAAATGTTTAAAATTTAATTCTTCAAAATGTTTTTCAATTTGAGGTCTATTCAAAGCAAATTTTTCAAAATCAGTCTCTTCAACATCATTTAAATCAAGCAATTTAAACTCAATCTCCATATCATCCTCTTTTTACATATTTTTTATATTTATAATTAATTATATAATTTTTTCATTTTTTGATAAAGGTATATAATCAAAATATACTCTATTTGGATGAAACAATAAATAAATAGTTAATTTTAAATTGAATTCAATATACTTTATCTAAATATGTCAAACAATCTTTCAAAACTAAAACAATCTTATCAATATTAGGTCTATTTGCAGGTTCTGGTTATAAACCTATTAAATAATAATTATATTTTACATTATAAACACATTCTTCCTAAATATTTCATTATTATTTATGGACCTGAAAATTTATCAAAATTTTCATCATATCTTACATAATAGGTTTTGTTTTTTAATTTCTCTTCTAATGTCTTTAAATTCTATCTTCTAAAATCCTAAATATTCATAATTTAATTATTTTACTATTGGATATCTATCAAACAATAATTCAAAAAGTAATACACCAAATGAATAAATATCATATGCATAAGTATATTCATGTGGTTCTAATTTTAATTAGATTTCAGGTGCACAAAAAGGCAATGTTTTACCTGGTTTTTCTTTATCTGTATATTTCTTTTTAATTATAGCTTCTCCAAAATCTGTAATTTTAGCCATCAAAGTTTTAGATATCAATATATTTGCTGATTTTATATCCATATGTATAATTCCATAATTATGAATATATCTTAAACCCATTGCTATACTATGTGCAATAAATATTCTGGTTGATAAACTTAATACTTCTTATTATTTTGCTTTAAAATAATCTAATGAAGAATGATAATATCTTTCCATCAATAAAATATCATTCCTCTATTAAACATAATAAAATTAAGCAATATATGGACAACATCCATAAATTTTAAAATATTTAAGTCTAATTTCATTTTAATCTCTAAAAATAAATTAAAAATAATTAATACTTGGGTTCAAAGTTTGGTGGGCCACTTAATTTAGAGGCAATTTCAATTTCTTTATTAACTTTATCTCCATTTTTAATTTTATCAGTTTTAATAACAAGAGGTCTTTTTTGTGTCTATTATTATTTTACACCATCTTTATAAGGATAATAAAAAATATCTTTTGAATATATATTACAAAAGCCTCCTTCAGAAATTAAAAAATTTTAATCTACTTCTAAATCATTATAATTGACTGGTTCAATTTAAATCAAACATTTACTATCAGTTGTAACTTGTTTTTAAAGTAATGGACCATATTATTCATATTCCTAATTATTAAATTCTAAATGCATATTGCTATTTAAAAATTAATCTAAATAAATACTTTTTAATAACCATCTTAATTCTTTATAGAAGTTATTCAGCATCTTTTGGAAATTTTCTCCAATTAACAAAATTTTGAATTTTTATATCATCTTAATATCTAATTTTATCCATATAATTTTCATAGATTCTGAATAATTTAATGTTTATCAAATTTAACATGAATAAAATCCTCATAAAATGAAATCTTAATGAATGAGTTGCAGTAACAATTAAACTATCTAAGTATGAAACAAATTCAGAAATTTCATTATTAGGTTTAAAGAAAGAAGCATTACTATAACATTAGAGATTAAATCCTATTTAACCATAAACCGGATTTAAAAAGAAACTTCCTACTCTAAGATTATTATTTAATCGCAACATATATCTAGAAACAGAAAGTCTAAGTAGCTTATATTCTTTCATTATGATATACCTTTTAATGAACAATTAGCAATCCATTTTTATTTGTAAAATAGGCATGAACATCTATTTTTTATTAATCAAAATCAATCTAAATTTCAAATAATGTGATTAAAATTCCAGTATGAATTTCTAAAGGAAAACTTAACAAATAAACATTCTCTTTTATATCTTATTCATTTATATGGCATTGAGGGTATTTTTCATTAATTTCTTATTTTAGTTCTTATATTTTATTTTTTTATGCTTCTACACTATTGTCAAAATTATCTTCATTCTAAGACTCTATCATACTCAAGATTTAATTCTCTTATTCCATTGCATATGAATGCATAATAAATAATATATATTATAATTAAAAATCATAAAATTAGAAGTTCATATGTCTTTTTCAATATAAATTCATTTTTAATAATCATATATTTACAAGAATTAATTCACTTATTTCATAGTAGATGAATTCAATAAGATTAGAAGTTCATATATCATTTTCACTATTTTTGTTATTGGTATGATAACATATGTTTAAAGGTTTATTCTATTATATAATTGAAGTAGAATTCTATAAATAAGATATATAAATAAACTAAATATTTTAATAAATATCTCAAAATATTTGAATTAAATTTCTTTTAATAGATATCTTAATATATCAGTGTTAAAATATTAGTTAATAAATAAATCAATATATTTGAGTAAAAATTTCTCTTAATACAATTATTAAAGAATTTAATATATGATGAGTAGAAAATAATGCTTATGTGAAGCGTAGATACATAAACTTATAAATAATTGTATAAGTTGTGGTCGTATTGTGTGTTCAGTTGAAGGTGAAGGACCATGTTTATTTTGTGGGAATCAAATTATGAAGAAAGGAGAACTTCTTATTGATGATTCATAATTTCCAGATATGGAATCTAAAACAGCTTATTCAAAAGCTTTGATGCATAAGGATAAACTATTAGATTTTCATAGACGAGATGTACATCAATCAAACATTATTGATGATTAAGCAGATTATTATTAAATAGTAGATGATGTTTGGTAAAATGAAGATATTAGATCATAAGCTGTAATTAAATTGATTTAATAAGCTGATGCTGAATAAACAAATACTGTAAAATAAGTATTAGATTTGTAAACAAGTAAAAATATAATGTTATAATTATAGTGTAATTTAGATTAGAGAAAGAGAGTAATGCAAAATAGGCTGATGAATTTAGAGATGAAGCAAAATAATTATTAAAAGAAGCTGAATTAGCAGATAAGAAAAAGAATTAAAATAATTCTAAGACTTCACATCTATCAGACAATTAAGAATATTAAAAATTATATAATGAAATAATAACAAATTTAAATAATGAAACAAAAAAAGAATCAAAAAAATAGAATAATAAAAATAATCAAAATACATAATAATTTAAACCAACAAGTTGTCGTGTTTAATTTACAGATGAATATTTTTAAGATTTTTAAAAAGAATTATTAAAAGTTGTAAATTAAGAATAATAATAATAAGAAGATATATTTGATGAATCATTTTTTAAAGTAGAAGATGGAATTGGATGTTTGTCTATGCATTAACCATGGGCATAATTGGTTGTTGAAGGATTTAAAAGGATTGAAGGTAGAATGTGGGGAACCAATTATAAAGGTCCTTTATGGATTCATGCAGGTGCAAAATAACCAGAAACAGAATTAATATCAGCTATTGAACATTAATATTCTTAATTATATAGTAATTTGGATAATGTACCACCATTTCCAGCACGTTATCCTACAGGAGTATTGATTGGAGTAGTTGATATGGTTGGTTATGTAAGAGCAGCAGAATATAATAAAATGGTACCAAAAGAGAAATAGGAAGAAGGAGATACAGAATTCAAATTTGTTTTTAGAAATCCAAGAAAATTATTAATACCTATATAAATGAGAGGTTCAAATAATATTTTTAAATTGGATGATGATATATTGAAAATAGCAATAAAATAATTAGAAAAAGTACCAGTAAAATGGGGTCCATATTTGATAGATCCAAAAGATGTAGCAAAAGAGGCAATAGGAGAAAAGTAAGTAGATGATACAATGTCTAAGATTTAAGAGTAATTTGTTATAAATAATATAAATGAAATATAAGAGAAATCTATAAATGAATAATAATAAAAAGTTGAAAATTCAATAGTGATAGATTAAACATAATAACAAGAAAAAAGATATTAATAAGTTTAATCTATTGATAGTTAATTTGAAAAATAATTAGAATGGGGTATACTAATAAAAAATGTGTTAAAAAGAGATTAATTAGTTAGAATGGCAAATTTCTTATCAACTAAGATTAAGAAGTAGAATAATTAAAAGGGAGCACTTAAATTATCATTTATGGCAAAGAATTAATTACCATGTCATGATATTATTACGAATACAATTTCAAATATAACAGGTAATGAAAATCAATATGATAATTGCACAATTCATTTCTTAAAATTAGCAGATAAGAAAATATGTATACAAAATGCAACAGCTTTAATTTTGATTGGTTAAAGTATGGAATTTATGAATAATAATCAATAAATTTTATTATAATAGGGGAAAGTATTTTTAGTAGAAGAGGGATACACATTGAATGGATAATTTAGTAGCGATTAACAAGAGGAAAATGTATTAAAAGACATTAGTTAAGATTATGTATTTAAAACCTGGTTGATATAATTATAATAATGATAAAAATTGCACCTTCTATTTTGACATGTGATTTTTCTATTTTCTATGAGGAATGTGACAAATTATTGAAAATGGGTGTTGATTGGTTACATTTAGATGTAATGGATGGACACTTTGTTCCTAATCTAACTTTTGGACCACCTATTATTAAATGTTTAACAAATAGATTGTAAAATCGGACATTCATTGATTTACATTGTATGATATAAGAACCTAGAAAATGGATTAAAGATCTTTCAAATGCAGGTGGTCATTAAATGACTGTTCATTATGAATCAGATATTGGTAATATTGAAGAATTATCATAAATGATTAAGAATGCAGGTATGAGACCAGCATTAGCATTGAAACCTAAAACATTAATTGATCATACATTAATAGAAATATTTGATAAATAATTATTTGATATGATCTTAATTATGACAGTAGGTATAAAATAACCTAATCAAAAGAACCTGGATTTGGTGGATAAAAATTCATGGCTGATATGTTACCAAAAGTAACTTAACTTAGATAAAGATATCCTAAAATTGATATCTAAGTTGATGGTGGTGTGAATTGTGATAATGTTATTAGTTGTTATGAGGCAGGTGCTAATGTAATTGTATCTGGTAGTGGAAGTAAATATAATATAATATATATTAAAATAGTTGTTAATGCAAAAGATCCATAACAATCTATTAATTATATGAAAGAATGTGGATGTTAACATTTTAAATGTTGAATACATAAAATCATATATGTTAATTATTATTATCTATTTCTTTAACATTATATCCTTTTTTTATTAGATAATTATATTTCTATTGATAATTACCAGTCTTTCTCTCTTTAAAATGAATATAATGTTTATATCCATTCACTTCTATTATTGTATTAGATTTTGGTAAATAGAAATCACAATGATATAATCCAACCTCATATTCTTTTAAATATTCTTCATTCAAATTCTTTTCGAATTATTTCTACATAATAGATTCCTATAAAATATATTTATCTTTTTTATAATTGCTTTCATGAGGTAACATGTATTATAAATAATAATACATTTTTCTATGTTTTATTACTTACTTTTTACAAAATTCAACTAATCCATTATTCTCAGTCAAAGCCAAATATAATAAAAAATCAGGTACTAAATTTTAAGATGTTATTTTGCTTAATTATATTTTCATTGGAATTGCTTAACATAAATTATGTCTTGCAGCTATGGCTAATATAGATTATTAATAATTATTATCATTCTCTCTTATCTTACTTAATTATTGTAGTGCTCTAGTTATTGTTAATGATGATCCCAATCGTTCTCTTTCCATATCCACAATTAATTTTTTCAATGAAAAATGGTCAATGGTCTTTGTCTCAGATACATATGTAAGTAATTCTTATTAGATCATTCATACTTTCATCAAATTCTAAACACAATCCTTTGTATTATCCTAAATGAATATAGGAATTTTAGATTTTAAATAGTAATGCACTTAAATTATTCATTATATTTAATATATATAATTTATCATCATATAAACCATCATCTTGTAAACATAAATATTCCTACACCAATAGCCAATATCATAAAAATAACAAATATAAAATTTGTACTTGAACCACTACCACTCACATTTGGTCTAACACCTATTAAATTAATATACATATTTATACCTGTTATTACACCAACTTATAATTTTTCTAATTACTTATAAGCACTTTGAGAATGATTTGCATCATGAAATGCAGCAGTTGCATCATCACCAGCTTTTCCCAATAAAATTGCTGGACCACCTGGATGATCATCTTAAAAATCTGTAACATCGTACACTTTCCCTTCTATAACCATCCATAAATCATCCTTTTTATTATGTTATCCTAATTCTTCCCATGTAATTTAACGATTTGGATTAACATTAGTCTAAGTGTTGATCATCAGATTTCTACTTTTTATTTTTTAGATTTCACAAGTTTTATGTAATCACTTGGTTATGGATCAGAAGTAAGTGTTCCAACTAATCTAGCATTTCTAAGGGAACGAGCATAATTTGAATGATTCACCTCTAGAAATTTCTAAGTACCATCCAATCCACCATATTTAAGTAGAATATCATCACCTCCTGGATGTTCTGCCAAATATGTTGTTACATCAAACACTTATCCTTCTATCACAACCCAAAGTGATGTACGTAGACAATGATCAGCTAACTCATCCCATCTTACTATTCTTTTCTCATCGTTCATTTGTTAAAATATCTAATTAAATTTATCTCATTTTCTGAATAATAAATAAACATTTATATCTTTACTATAAGATGTTAATATAAATATTATTCATAATATTGTATATATTCAAATATCTATAATTATGATTATCCATTATGTTATTAATATAATGATAAACTTTTCTCTAATTTTTATTATTGATATTTAAATAGGCTATTAAATGTGAAATTAAAAGTTATTCCCCTTAATTATTAATTTTTTTTATTCTCAATTATATTCTCTACACTCACTTAAGGATTTTTTTAAATACTTTAATTGATAAGATCGATCTTAAAAAGTCAAAACAATTTTGAAATTTCAAACCCTACCATATTTATTTTTATTAAAATTTATCATCTAAAAAAATAAAACTACTTGGACATAATTGATCAAATATTTTTTATGATCTTTGAAATTATTCTGATTGCATTCACCATACTAAAATAACATTTATTAAATTTTTTAATATTTGCTTACTCATATTTGAATCATAAATTGTAAATTTGATCGAAAAATTATTCATAATTTTAAAAATCATTACAAGGATATTAAGGATAATTAAAGATTCCTAATAATATGAAAAGAATTTCTGAATCTGAAAATTTTAAGTAAATTAAATTAAAGTCTAGAAAGCTATGTTTAGAATTGACATGTCATATAATTATTGTGTGAGGATATAAGTTTGAAAGTTATTATTAGGCTAAAATTATTTAGAAAGCAATTCTAATTCGTGCTATTCATTTATAAGAAGTTATTAATGGAGCAAAAGAATGCCTTGATCATTTGAGATATAGTATGTAAACCAATTCATACACTCATTGTTTTCTCTAATTTGAAAGGTAAATCATGTACGACTTCAAAGAATAGGGTGAAATAGTTGAATTTTTAAAAGAACTACCATATTCAAATACATCATTTACCAGATATCTTAATGTGCTCTAACTCGAAATATATTCTAATGATTTCTCACATATTTTTAGGAGCAAACCTATTCAAATTCTATTGTTTATGCGTAGTTTCCTAATCAATAAAATCATAAATCTAAGTAAATTTGTTTGTCCTTATAACATGTACTTTCACATAATTTGTAATTGTAGTTATATTTTTTTTTTATGGACTTGAAACATAGAGATAAAAGAGTATTTTTAAGATTGCAAATCTTATTAGTTTATTATTAGTAGGTAAAAGCTGAGAGTAATTGAGATCAAATTTCAAGAATTTTATTGTCTTATTTGTCTAATATTTCTACAATATTCATATTATTAAATACTATATAAATATATTTATAAGAAGAGTAGAGAATTAGATTATATTAGTAGTGTAGATAATTGTATAATATTATCATGTGTATGTGTTAATTAATATTTATTTGAAAAATAATATATATACGAGGAGAATGAATTCGAAATACTTGATTACTAGTCTACACAGAAGTTTGTGTTATTTGACATATTGCTTGATTCAACTAATAATCTCTACTATGTTGCTAATTTATGTAAGATGTTGAATGACAAAATTAGGTCATTTTGGATAGACACAAGTACTCTTAACTTTGATATATCTAGAGTTTGGACAAACCTCCCGTTCTCATTTGTGAGGGACTGTTGACTTTCACAATTTGCACAGATCTAGCACTCAAAGTATTAATGGAAGGAAGAGTATTATAAATTATTATTTTATATTTTTACTCTAATTAAAGGAATTCTTCACAACAGCCTGGAATGTGTTAGACTTTTGTGCATTTTTGTCAATCATCTTGTGTATAAGATTGCAATATGAAGTATATTACGATGAGATTTTTGGGATATCCCTTATTTCTATGCGTTATTTGTCATTAACAGTGAGAATGGTAGTCCTTCTTAAATAGTATATTTATTTTGTATTATATAGGTCTTATTTTGTATAAATGATGTAATAATAAAGAGATATTTTAATTTTTAAAAGATCCAAAAATCAAGATCTTAGTATCTTGGATATAAGTTCTGAGATATTAAATGACTCATAATTTGTTGAAACTATGAAACTTGTTAGTGAATGATATTATAAATAATCAATTTTATTTCATTTTTAAATAAGATATTTAAAACAAATTTTCTTTTCTTCATCTCAAACATTAAAAAATATTAAATTAAAACTTAAATTCATAAGCCATTCAACATGCATCCACATTATTTTCCTTATAAATTCACTTAATACCATTACTAAACCCCTCCATACCTTTACCCACAATATTTACAACCACAATATTACAATTAAAATAATTTTCTACAATACAAACACCCTTAATTTCAATATGCACCTTTACCAACTCAATAATAGCAATATATTCTCATCTCAGATGATGAAGAATGTGTACCAATCCAAAAAATTGATAAACCCATTCCAACCTAAACCATTAATACAACTCAAACCCAAAAAAAAACAGTCAAATTGCTAGACCTTGATACTCTTGAAGCATAAGGAAAGCTATATGATTATGAAAGTTCTCAATCCCCTCCATTACCTAAGCGAATCATTAAAAAACCACCAAAACCTATCTATAAACCTTAGAGAAGAAAATAAATCAAAATACGCAAAGAACCAATTAGACATACTCAATAAAAGATTAAACACGTGTAAATTGGAATTTAAAGATAATAGCTTAATTATCCCTAATCAAATGTAAAGGCAAAATTCATTAAAATTTATGAGAAACAAGAAGATAATTGTATAAAATCATTTTAAATTTACATAGTTTCTAAATTATTTGATTAATTAAAACTTAATTTTTCAGAAGCTAATGATGAAGATATTGCAATTGTTCTTAATATGGTTGGTAAAGATTATTAAAAAGCTGAAACATTTATTAATTAAAACTCATTTTTTCTTTAATCATACCTTCAAAGTAATTAATAATATCAATCTAGATTATAAAGATATATCAGAAGATGACTCTACTATCAAAAAATGAAAACAAAATCAATAATTATATATTCAAATTATCATATAATAAATTAATTTCATGAATTTCAAATGCATTGTATTAATTATTACTAAAACTAATTGCAAATACGTTATTAAAATTAATCAAATCTCTAAATAACTTTTGAGTTCCATTCTCAAAAACCTCAATTTCTTTATATATAGTAATTATTTCATCAAACTTAAACACTGTTACATACTTAATTCTATTTTGAAAAATTTAACTGTTTTCACTTATCTAATCTAAAACAATAAAAATATCAATTTTGAAATGCCTAATTGAAATTAATATTAATATTTAAAAGCGAATATAACATTATGTTTCTTTTATTCAATAAAGTAAATATGAACTTTACCAATTGACATTATTTAATTTATTGTTAAACTACTGGAATAAAGAAAGACTAGACTAAATAATTTATTTTCATAAAACAATAGAATTAAAATGAAATACTAAAATATATATAGGAAGCTAAAGAAATATATATTTAAATTGCATAAAGTTATTTAAGAGAGACTGACTGAGCTCGATAATGATTTTATTTAATTATTATAGAAATTTTTTGAACTTTGATCATTTTCTATAGAATAACAATTCAAAAATATATAAATAAATATACAGAAAATATGAAAAGCATAAAGAAAATAGATTAACTTTTTAAATCTGACGATTATATAGTTCAATTTAATTATAAATAATTATAAGGATTTATTATATAATCATATGTAACAGAAAAACTGTTATAAATTAAACTTTAGTGCATTTGAGATCATAAAATTAGAAAAATTGATAAATATATAGTTAGGTATACACTATCTATAGGCAGAAAATATTATAGTTTTGAATTGTAAAATATAAATTTAAAGGGATAAATATTATTTAAAAAAATTCAAATGATTTTGAATTATAATATATTTCCAAAATCATGATTATATATATGTCAATAATTCATTAATACTGGATTATACTCTTATAGATAATTAAAATATTTAGGATAATAAAATTAGAAATCTACCAAATTGATATCTAAAAAATTGAAGAAACAAAAATTTGAACTGATAGTTTAAATATATATTGATCCATTGTAATAATCTTGATCTAAAAGGTAAAACTAGAACCATAATTATATATTTATTAGGAACAAATTATTACAAATGAATTCTAAAAATAGTATAAAATTCAGTATAACCATAATGAAATTCATCTTATTTCTCTAATAATTATTGAAATCTTTTTGAAATAGTTGAATGAATAATTAATGTTGCCAAAATAAATTTAATTAGCATTAAAAGTATTCTGAAAAAAAAGTAGAAATGTTAAATCAAATAGTTATTTTAAGAATAAAATTATTTATTAAAAATAGTTTATGTATTAAAATTTCTTTAATTTTTTTAAGCCTTTTTAGTTAATCTTACTCAGGTTTCCAATAGAGGAAATTAAAATTTAATAAATAAAAAAATGAGGGATTATAAAAATTATCTAAATATAAAATTAGTTATCATCTCTAAATACATAAATCTAAAATTTATTTGTATTTTAATTATTCTGGAATTTTTATGATCTAAGATAAAATAAAAGTCAGAGGTTGTTGGTACATTAATAGAAATTGGACAATTCAAAAACAAATTTTGGCAATTTCTTTCATTATCTCATCCTTAATTTTAATAATTCTTTTAGTGATCATTTGGGTGAGTTATATTTAAATTTATAATAATCTAAAGGTTGTCTCTTAAGAAATCTTTATGAAATAAACTTCTTAATAAATCAATAATATTTGGATATACTAACGAAGCTTGGAATAAATGATATTTTAGACTAAATAGCAAATCAAAACAACAAGAGCTATTTACAAATAATTTGATTATCTAATAAATAATTCCAATTAGAATGTTAAATTTGACTATCCTCACATGTGTTTAAATAACATTTCTGCTCTTGATTCCTACTGTTTTTCATCATCCACAACATGTGGTATATTTGGAAATCAAGAAGCTGAATAAGAAAATTAAGATACTTAAAGCATAATAGCAACAACTTTTATTTTAACATCATTTCGTATAGCTCTTGATCATACATTTAGTGCACCACTCTATTATTTTTTAGATAATTAAGTCTTATTCTTTTGTATCACAAACGGAGGCATATTTCCACAATCATTTAAGCCTAATAAAAGACCATATTATTTAGATTTCTAAAAATCTATTAGTTAAGATACATCTGTAGACAGTGTATACTTTGCTAATCCTTATTTGATTGTTGCTGGATATATCAGAATTCCAATAATAACATCCTTAGTGAATTTTAATGATTAAATTGTTGGTATGGTAGCTAAGGATATTGATTTTGGATATGCTTCAATAGGTTAAGGTAAAGACATTAATACAGTTTTATATGTTATTGATAATTAAGGTAAAATCTATTATTCCATTATTTATAATCAGATTAATCTAACAGTTTATTATTTTAATGAAACAAAAATAACTGGATTTAATTAAACTGATTTTGAATAATTGATGAATTAACATAATAATATACCTTTTAAAAATGATTGTCCACTTATTTAAAGTGAAATCATTTTGTGTAGATTTAACTAAAAAACTAAATAAAATCAGATAATAAAGTCTTCTTAAATTAAAGGTTCTAATTTAATTTTAGTAGTTTTGGTAGAAACAAATAATATAATCAATTAAATTGATGATAATTTATATTTGATACAGCAATCTCAAATTTTAGTAACTCAATAACTAACTCTTTATCTAATTATATTTCCTATCGGAATAATATTTCTAAGTAATATTCTTATATACATGTTATTTCGATAATTTAATTAACTCCTTAATCTTATTAAATAAAAAGTATATTCAAATAGAAAGGACCTATTTCTTGCTGAATTTGATAAAGAATAACAATTTTTCCGTTCATGTTCTGTTACAAACTTAATTTAGGCATCCATCAAAAGATTCAATAACCTAGAATCTTTTGGTAAGTCAATTAATTGTTTAATACAAGAAAACATGAATTACCCTAAATATACTCATACTTAAAAGAAATTTTAATAAAACTTGGTTCTAATAATGAAATAGTAAAATCAAATACTTAATAATAAGTAACAAACAAAAAATACTTTTTTTAATAACATAAATAATTTTATAGGTAAACAAAAATTATGAAATATATTTTTATAATCTGTTAACCAAGATTTTTAAAATATTTACAATCCATATTTTATATATTTATGATCAATTCTTTATATCTAACATTCATAAAATTATCTCATAATCTCTTTAATTAAATTCTAAAATTCTTGTGTCAATATGAACTGTAAAATTAATTAAACTAAATCAAGAGATCTATTTCTTTAATAAAATTAATATTTATTGACTTATGATTGTATAGATTACTTAAAATCACAACAGAATAATGTGGACTTAAATAACTATATTAAATATTAGATTCTATATGAATATATATTTGTATGTTTTATTAGATTATTAGTATAGAACTACTAATAAAAATCAAAATTCATCATTTAATATTATATATTTAAATTCATAATTACTCTTTATAATTACATTTGAACATATTTTAGTTTAAATAAAATTTAACCAAATTTCAGTCCAAAAAATAGTAGTTTATAAAAAACTAAAATACTCTTGTCATTTTTAATAAAATCTTTAGAATGTTTACTAATCCATTAAGTTAAATATTAGAACTAAAGAATATGAATTATGATGCCTAATTAATAAAGTCAATTATAATGAACTTAAAAAATGTTAATCAAATAGAAATAATGGCTTTAATGGAGATAATTGAATAAATAAAATAGTGTTCAAATAATTATGGAAACAAAGAAGAATTGTTGAATGAATTATAGGATTTTCTTTAAAGTTAATTAAAAACTGATCGTGCTGCTATTATTAACACTAATAATTTTTTAGAATATAAAACTAAATGTAATTCTAATCAAACTGGTGTTATAATACTAAATCATTAAGGATAATTTAGTATAATAATTTATTAATTTTAGTTCTATCTGAT